GGTTGACACAATGGAAGTAGCTAACTGGCCAAGTCTGCAGTATTAACATGCAGTGTGTTTGGAGCCAAGTTCTAGAATGGTGCCACAGTTCTTGGTTACTATGGAGACTAATCTGTGAAAACACATGAATACAAAATAAAACGTTAAACTGGGACCCCAAGCATGAATTTCCTTACTCTTTTATCTCTCTTTTTTGCTCTTTTTGTGTAAAGTACCCATGGAGATAGAGGAATGTCTTCTGGGTGTAACTCTGAGGAAAAAGTCTACCAAGACTCCATTTAAAAACAAACTTGATGAAATTTCTTTGTTCCTACTACAGCCAAACAATCAGCAATAGCCTTTGATAAAAATGAAGACAAATTTGTCATTAAAAACCATTAAGGTAGCTCCATCTTAATAAGGAGATTAAAATACAATACAATGCAATGCAATACAATACAAATATAATATATTACATGTGTGTATGTGTCTCTCTGTTTTTCTGTGTGTCTATTCTTCCATTCGGCTGTGTCTACTTCTCAGAGACTGCTGGACAAGTCCCTGCAGTTTTCTTGGCAAGGTTTTTCAGAAGTGGTTTGGCATTGCCTTTTTCCTAGGGCTGACAGAAAGTGACAAGCCCAAGATCACCCAGCTAGTTTTGTACCTAAGGTAGAACTAGAATTCAGTTTCCCAGTTTCTAACCTTATGCCTGAAACACTACACTGAACTGGCTCTCAAGGATCATGTGGCAGTTGCTAAATCTAGTTAATCATGATGCTCTTTGTTCTTGCATCAGTTACTGTCAGGCAGAAAAACCACATAATCTCAGCACATTTATAGAAGGTTCCTAGGGCGTTCCTGGACTGAAGTGATTGAGTTCCCAAAACATGCTTAATGTTGCTATTAAATTAACCCATTTTAAAGGTTTGTGCAATAAACTAATCCAATCAGTTGCATTTGTGCAAGACATTAAGCTTTCAAAAGGAATCAAGTTTATCCTTCTATGTAAATTACAAATATAATTGCTAGGATTTTACTGAATGTTCACACAACTGAATTGTGTGACTTGAACATAGCCGCCAAGTTAAAAGGAAGACCAAGCGAACTGGAAGATCAGTAGTTCACTCTGCAGAATTCTTGATGATGCTCTAAATGAAGGCCAACGGATAGGCCCAAAGGTTTGGAGTGAATTAGATTTAGTAATCATCATTGAATTATAACTGGAAGCTTTTTCATGTACCCCTGAATGAATATAAAAGCACCAGTTCATATACAGACAGGTTTGAGATAATCAAAAGACCCATTTATTTTTGATTTTAGGATAGACAGGAATGCTCCCTACTGAATCCTCTCTCCCTGATGGAAAGATTGGTACAAGTATACCCATGCAACGAGTAAAGTTTTTGCAAGCATTATGTAGGTCATACTTCAATCACCTCTCTCAACCCCAAACTCCATTCCCATTCACTGATGGGGCTTGCTGGTTGAGCTTTACTGTTCATGTCATGCAATGTTGAGGTAGCTTAAACCCTCCTCCTTATGACTCCCAAAAGCTCCCCCAATAACAACTCTTGAAAATTTGTGCCATCAACTCTTGAAAATTTGTGCCAGAACATGCATTCAAAATGGCGAGGTAACCTTAAAACACCCCATCAACTCAATAATGACAAGAAAATCTCAGGTGTGCCGATGTGTATGATGTGGCATCACTCACTTTGCATCATTACCTTGCCCACATCAGCTTTTGCCACATCAGATTAACTTCAGCCTCCCTCTTTCAAAAGATTTCCGACTCCCATTAAGATTGCCACTGAGCAAGATGGGAGTCTTAACACGCCTGAAAGGCACCAAGTGGGAGAAACTTTTCTTAAAGTTCCATGCAACATAAAGGAATGAGTAAATGGAGATGTAAACATCTTTGTTTTCTTCCAGTTTCCATCCACAATAAGAATAAAGGTCAAACTACTGTATAGTTTTCTATTGCTATATTGGTGATGCTTTAATAGAAGGGGGGTTATTTTGCCCAAGAGGTTCAGGGCCCTTGGTCTAATAGTCCTATGAATTAGGAGTAAAGCCACTACTGCACCTTGCATATATTTGAGTAAATGGAGATGTAAACATACTGGGCCAACCTGTTACTTTTTCTTATGTTGCTGAGCTTATAATAGGATTTCCTTTGCTAGTGACTGGTTGTTTTTCCGTAAGAGGCCCCATTTTAGCAGCATCTCTCTCGGATGTCTCAATCAGTACATAATTAATAGGGAGGTTAACACCCCAATTAAATATTCAGATAACACGGCTGATAGAGTGACTTTAGTTCCAAATGAACTCAGAGTTGTTTAGGGCTCAGGTTAACTCCCTAGGGTTAATTGTCTGGAGTAGCTAGATTATGGAGTTCATACCTTCCCGATTACACAGTTCAGACTGTTGTACAAACAGAATCAATAATGCAGATAGGCTCCCATACATCAGCATTTACAGTTTGGTCCTATAAATCAGAGGGGTGAAAACTGGCTGTGCTTGTGGGCAATCTGAAGGGGCAAATGTGGCCTTAGAGATTTTCAAATTTGTCCACAATTCCACCCCGCACCCCCCATCTATGCTCAACTCTTCCACTCCCAACTTCAGATGCTACAGGGCTGTGCAAATGCTCCACCTGTCAAGTCTCAAATTTAGTTGTGGTTTTCCATTATTATCCTCAATAGCACGTCCTGCTTCTGTGTCCTATTTCCCATCCCATAAGCTGTTCCCATTTCCTTTCTGTTCCAGCCACTCCCTTCATCGTGCCTGAGCTTCATATTACCTTTTTTGCTTTTTCCTTGATCTGTCTTGTATCCTTTTTTTTTTTCATTTCTATGTGAGCACTCTACCTTTTTTCAGTTAACCTGAAAATGTTTCTTTGGAGGGGGGGGCAGGGAATGTGTATTTCAGAGAGAGAGAGAGAGAGAGAGAGAAAGAGAAAGAAAAAGAAGAAAGAAAGAAAGAAAGAAAGAAAGAAAGAAAGAAAGAAAGAAAG